TGAGGCGACCAGAACTGGACACAATACTCCAGATGTGGCCGAACCAGGGTTTGGTATAGCTGGAGCATAACTTCACGGCTCTTGAACTCAATCCCTCTGTTAATGAAAGCTAACACACCATATGCCTTCTTAACAACTCTATCCATCTGGGTGGCAGCTTTCAGGAAACTGTGAACATGAATCCCAAGATCCCTCTGCTCCTCCACACTGCCAAGAATCTTTCTGTTAACCCTGTATTCTGCTTTCAAGTTTGTCCTTCCAAAATGAATCACCTCACACTTTTCAGGGTTAAACTCCATCTGCCACTTCTCAGCCCAGCTCTGCATCTTATCAATGTCCCTTTGTAACCTAGAACAGCCCTCCACACTGTCCACAACGCGACCCACCTTCGTATTGTCTGCGAACTTACTAATCCACCCTTCCACTCCTTCATCCAAATCATTTACAAAAATCACAAAAAGAAGAGGACCCAGAACAGATCCTTGTGGTACACCACTCGTAACCGAGCACCATGTTGAATATTTTCCATCCACTACCACCCTTTGTCTTCTAAGGGTTAGCCAATTCTGAATCCAATCTGCCACATTTCCCCCTATCCCATGCCTCCTTACCTTCTGCATGAGCCTACCATGGGGAATCTTATCAAACGCCTTACTTAAATCCATGTATACCACATCCACTGCTCTACCTACATCCACGTGTTTGGTCACCTCTTCAAAGAATTCAATAAGGTTTGTGAGGCATGATCTACCCCTCTCAAATCCATGCTGACTATCAGAAATCAAACTGTGCCTTTCCAAGTGATCATAAATCGTATCTTTCAGAGCCCTTTCCAATAATTTGCCCACCACTGACGTAAGACTAACTGGTCTGTAATTTCCGAGGTTATCCTTATTCCCTTTTTTGAACAAGGGAATGACGTTTGTCTCTCTCCAAGCTTCCGGCACTATACCCGTGGACAGTGAGGACAAAAAGATCATCGCCAAAGGCCCTGAGATCTCTTCCCTCGTTTCCCATAGAATCCTTGGATAAATCCCATCAAGCCCAGGGGACTTATCTATCTTCAACTTCCTCAAAATTCCTAGTACATCTTCCTTACTGACATCGACCTCCTCTAGCCTACCAGCCTATTTCACACCGTCCTCCTCTGCAACTAGGTCCCGCTCAGTTGTGAATACCGAAGAAAAGTATTCATTAAGGACCTCTCCTATCTCTTTAGGTTCCGTGCACAAATTCCTTTTACAATCCTTGATCGGCCCTACACTTTCTCTGGTCATTCTCTTATTCCTCACATACGTGTAAAAAGCCTTGGAGTGTTCCTTGATCCTATCTGCCAAGGTTTTCTCATGTCCCCTTATTGCTCTCCTAAGCCCTTTCTTCAGCTCCTTCCTGGATAACTTGTATCCCTCTAGAGCCTTTCCCGTTCTTTGTTTCCTAAACCTTACATAAGCATCCTTCTTCCTCGTAACCAGTTGTTTGACCTCTCTCGAGAACCATGGGTCCCTCACTCGACCGCATCTTCTCTGCCTGCTAGGGACAAACATATCGAGCACACGCAGTATGCATTCCTTAAACAATCTCAACATTTCAACAGTGCTCTTCCCTGACAGCATCTGTTCCCAATTTATGTAACCCAGTTCTTGCCTAACAGAATTATAATTACCCTTCCCCCAATTATAAACCTTACCCTGCTGTTCCTGTGTTATATTGATCTAAGTTCTATGTTCTATACCAATCAATGGCTTGCTTTTGGATACAGTAGTCCATTAATAGTCATCCACTGAGAATCAAGTTATTGTATTAAAGGGTACCTGCAGCACACTATTACCAAACCAAGGCTCCTGCTAGAATTATAACTACCACCTTGCTGTACAATCATAGTGATAGAAATCGCATTGTTACTCAAGCAAAAAATAATTTTGTGATTTTCTCCCAGCCTAACCCTCTCAGTGTAAGTATTAAATTGTTCATTCTCAGCTCGACTTTTAGATATAGTCTCACCAGGTGCAGGTTTTGTCTGAAACACTGTTTACTACAGGGCCCAGGTGGGTCTGCAATTCCCACAGAAAAGGCAACAGATCACAGGCATTGCAGGGTTAGAGAGATGAATATCAGGGAATAAAAAAACCATGCAATTTGACTTCTAGTCATATTCCCTCAAGAGTGTGGATGACGGATAATGATAAATGAGCAAAACCGCAACAGAGCAGCGATCATAGTTAATGAGCACACGGGTGAAATCACAATGAGGCAAATGCCATTATCCCACGACTGCAGTTAATGTGACGTGGTCAGTCATTACTGCTGGCAGAATAGGGAATCCAATGGGAGGAAGTTAGTGATAAGCTGACATCCTGGACTGCTAACTTCAGAAAGCCAAATCAGTGCAATCCTGTCATATGACTACACCAACCAATGGGAGCAGAGTTAAGCCAAGCTAGAGAGCAAAATCATGCACACACCAGCAGCGAAGGCTGCAAAATGGTCTTACTCACGTCCCAAATGCATATGCTCCAAGGGACATTTTAATGTGAATGAAACAGGACTGTTTTACCGTCATTACCAGATTACTCTTTAATGTTTTAAAGGTGATTTGTGTAATGGGAGGAAGGGACCAGCAGGGATGGCACCAAAAATCTGCTGCTGCCTGTATTAGGAAAGTCCAAGAATTATTCCAAGTCACTACCAGCCCTGTATGAGGCTAAAAAAATTGTGTGGATAACCTCCAGCACTTTTGTGATATGGATCGGAAAAGTGGACAACATGTCTTGATGGAAGAAAAAGAAGATTGAGCCTCTCTGCTCCTATGATGCTGCTTGGCCTGCTGTGTTCATCCAGCCCTGCACCTTGTTGTCTCGGATTCTCCAGCATCTGCAGTTCCTACTATCTCTGATTCAATTACTACAGACAGTTGTCCTGTGGACCCTAGATAACTGACTTCAAGATTGTCAAGCCAAACTTGCCTTTCAATACCACAGCCCAATTAAACTCTAGCCAATGTATCAGTGGGTGATGAGGAACTTAAAAAATAAACAAATCTCTGAGATTATTGAGGCTATCAATTCAAAGCTGAAGTACAATGCAACTATTGCACAGGCCATGGTTCATGGTTGGAGAAGCCATGGAAGATGGTAACACTGGGAACGATGAAGCCAACCAGCTCAATGAGGACGTGCTCTTTGTTTGCCTGTGGGAGATCAGTAAATAAATTTCAGCAGAGACCACTGTGGAGGTGTGGATTTAGTCCCCAAAGTGAGATACTGATATCCAGTATGGATAGAGTGATCAAAGCCAAACAGGTGTGGATCTAGTGCCCCAGAGTGGGACAAGCGATTCCTGTTGTGGATTAGTGCCCAAAGCCAGGCGGTGTAACCAGGTGTAGGTCTGGTGCGCTAGAGTACGACAGTGATACCCAGTGTGGATCCAGACTGCAGTGCAAGTCCCTTATGGGAACACTGAAGTTTTGTGTAGAAGGTTTCAACTTTCTCTCTAGTTTCAAGTGTATCTTGATAGTATGATTTGCATTTTGTACTTTGGAAAGACAATTTCTGATAAAGACGAACTGAAACATCTCTGCTTCATCTAAGATAACAAGGTGTAGAGCTGGATGAA